CCCCCCCCCCCCCCCCCCAAAGTGACCCAAAGAGATGACGCCAGAGGCAGGCAACAGTTGCAGGCTGCCTCATTATCGGGACGGCTCTGCCTGCATTTGCAGTGCCTGAGAGCCCTGTCTACTTTGTATTTCTGCCCTTATATGATTCGATGGAAAAGACCTTGTATATGCGTGCAAATGCTGGTACCGTGACAAGCGTACGCAAATATAGGCGGATTTTTCACTGTATGCACCTATATGCCTGTACTCAGACGTGCGCATCAGACCATGCGCATCAGCCCTAATACATTCAAGGTAGGGCTAGTGTTAGGGAACAGTGCAATATAAGGGATTGTCTCCACTGGTGGCAAAAAGGACGCATTTTACGCATTTTTTTTCAACCTTTGAAACGATCCCAAAAAAAAAAACGCCTCACACACCGTGGCAAAGAAATGTATGAGAAGCGACAGTGTTGTGACGGGTCAAAAAACCCCACGCAGTGTAGCGTGCAAGAATTGCTTAGCAACCTGTAAAAGTTCCCAACCCGAGGCTAAACAAATGCACAACAATGGCTAAAAACCGCAAAGCGCATTTTCACGGATTGGATTTGTGCCGCCAATGCAGACAAGCCCAAAGGCCTCTTACGCACAGGCAGCCCGATCAGGTCCGCCTGTTAAGTTTTTCAATTGGACCTGAACAGATGCCCAATGCTAGTCTATGGGCAGCCGGGTCTAAATGGTGTCCGTTTACCCCTGGTTACCCCCGACCTCACGTACATGCACATACATGTGCAAACGCGCATCGAAAATGACGATTGCGCCACACGTTACATATCACGGCTAACGTCGGAGTGAGAGCAATAATTATAGGCCCATCAATCACTGATAACACTAAATTAATGAGCAGTAAAAGCTTTTAAAGCGTCGCCTATGGTCAATTTTAGGCATGGTAGTTTTTTTGCGATTTTGCGGGCGCGTGTCATTTTAAGGCTTGACAAGTTTGGTGTCTTATTTACACGACGTGGCCCCGTCTTATATATTTGACCAAAAAATTGGGTAATAATAAAATGTATTATGAACATAACATGGGGGAAACTGTTTTTATTTTTCCAAATTTTCGGTAAATTTTTTGATATATACCGCGTTTCCCCAAAAGTAAGACCTACCCCAAAAGTATCCACATGACCCCCCCCCGCCTGCACACCTGTTTGCATCGGAGCGGAGAGCTCGACAGCTGCAGCCAGGTAAGACATCCCCCGAAAATAAGACCTAGTGTCTTTTTTCATGAGAAAAAAAAAATAAGACAGACAATGTCTTATTTTCGGGGAAACACGGTAGTAAAAAATAAACCGCCCCCCCCTGCCTCCCCCCCCAGTGGTGATTAAATACCACCAAAAGAAAGCTCTGTGGGGGAATTTATCAAAGCAATTGCCACAGTTTTAGCCTCTTAAATCAATTTTTTTTGTGCCCATGTTTTCTCCTGACCTCCCACTACTTTTTCAGTTGCATGTTTTTTGCACGTGTTTTTATCTGCGCTTGTTCTGCGGCTGTCTGAAGCAGGAGCATCACCTAAGAAAACAATTCGCAACTTAAGAAGTCACCGTGACCACTTCTCCAAGAAGCGACAGTTAGGCCTCATTCACACTGCCGCGCGCATATATGTGCCTACGCGCATATAGTACCATATGCAAATAAATGGTTACATGCACATAGCTGCGTATGGAGCCGTATATTTGCGTAGCGTAAAAATGCGCAAAAACAGAATGGAACCGAGATGCGTCCGGGCAGCGTATTTACGCGCATATACACACGTACAGTTCATTAACATTTCTATTACAAATGATGCATTGTGGGACTGCAAATAGTGCACGCATATATGCAATATACAATTTTGCTCTTGCGTTGTGTGTGAATGAGGCCTTAAAAGGAGAACTATGGAGGTGAGTGAAAATCATTCATCCTCATAGTTCTAGCCGACCTGTGACAATGAAACTGTCACACGTCGGCTCAATAGATTGGGAAGTGAGCGAACACATAGTCGCTAGCTCACTTCTCGATCATGTCCCTGCAGAGAGCCGTGACTGTCAGTCACGGCTCCCTGCAGGGATTCCTTCACTCTCCAATCCTCCAGCGCTGACTGGCGGAACGGACGGGGGAGGGGGCGGGTACAGCTGGCTCTGCCTCTAGATAGGCAGAGCCAGCTGTCAATCACGCAGCTGGGTGGATCTCGATAGTAATGTCGGGATCCATCCCGGCTGCGGCGGTCTCAGTATACCGCGGCAATAGTTCGCGGTATACTGAGCCTAGGGTGACGGGAGGACGTTAGTTTATCTCTTCCCGTGACCCTGAGGAGAACTATGGGGAAAAACCCTGACCCCATAGTTCTCCTTTAATGCTTTTTGCTCGGAGTTACGAGTCTTTTTTCCTGGAGTCTATTAAACCTCATCCCCCCCCCATGTGTCCCCAGAAAAATGGTATAAAATTCATTTCGGTACGGCGTTGCATGACGGAATAAATGTCAAAAGTACCTCAGCGCTGAATACTGAGAACTATCCTGGACAGGAAGGGGGTTTAACACCCCCGATCAGCAAGTGGTTAAAATGACATCACAGCAACACCACACTGAGACATCACTTAAAATCCTGCCAATGTGATGTCATCGATGACCACGGTGATCAGTTATGACATCACATGTACACACAGATAAGTCATCAGAGACAGTTACAGAAAAGAGAAGTGATGAGCAGCAGAAAATCAGGAAGAAGAATAAAAGAACGATTCATGAGAAGGCTGCAGATGGAGCCGCCTCGACCTGACGCTGCAGGGCCGCCATGCCGAACGTCTTCCGTTGTCAGGATCACTAATCTGGACGAGGAAAACGCGGAAGGCTTTTGATCTGGGACAAGTGTTCCACCATAGTCAGTAATGGCAGCACCCGTATTCATCTCACTTTAAGGGTGCGCTCCAGGTCAATACACAGATGACATACACATAAGCGAGCTGCTTTACCTGCCAAAGGATCCATAGTCCTGTCCATCCAGTCCTCAGATTTACACAGGTCTGCCACACAGCAGAAGCAAGCTGGTGACCTGACTTTTGTTTACAGCGGGTTAGTCTGGTCACCTCCCCACCCTCAGCCTGTGACTGGAAAGTGAAGGAGCAGCAGCCTGATGAGCTCACTCCTCTGCTATTAACATGTTCCTTGTCAGCACATGTGAACGCAACACACTTGTGTGGCCCCCGGCCTTGGCCCTCCCCCTTCTCAGTGTGGCTGATCACGGGATAACACGAGGGTTACACACGTCAGATTCAGTCACTTAAGCTAGTCATCTTTATCGAGTTTAGCAAATGGGGCGAGCAAGAAAAAAAAAAAAATCGAATAGAATCTGTCCTGCCGGCTACTATATTCAGACAGCCGGCACCCGCAGCTATCTGAACACCCAACGGTGACTGCGGCTGATTGGACGCTGCCACTGTTAGGCTGACAATTCTCCAAACTTTCATTCAATGTTTGTTGAGCCGGGTGGTGCCGACAGGGCCCCCCATGGCACAGATTTCAGTCTGTAGGACCAGCTGCATGTAATAAATACAGATCGGAAATGATTGCCTTTTGTTAAATATCTGCCCGGAGCTTAAAACATTATTACAAGAGAGAGCGGAGTGCGAGTGAGCCGTGTGTGACATCACAATGACAGGGGAGCGACACGAGGATGACAGGAGGAGCGAGCAGAGCGACACGAGGATGACAGGGGAGCGAGCAGAGCGACGCGAGGATGGCAGAGGAGCGAGCAGAGCGACGCGAGGATGGCAGAGGAGCGAGCAGAGCGAGGATGACAGAGGAGCGAGCAGAGCGAGGATGACAGAGGAGCGAGCAGAGCGAGGATGACAGAGGAGCGAGCAGAGCGAGGATGACAGAGGAGCGAGCAGAGCGACGCGAGGATGGCAGAGGAGCGAGCAGAGCGACGCGAGGATGGCAGAGGAGCGAGCAGAGCGACGCGAGGATGGCAGAGGAGCGAGCAGAGCGACGCGAGGATGGCAGAGGAGCGAGCAGAGCGACGCGAGGATGGCAGAGGAGCGAGCAGAGCGACGCGAGGATGGCAGAGGAGCGAGCAGAGCGACGCGAGGATGGCAGAGGAGCGAGCAGAGCGACGCGAGGATGGCAGAGGAGCGAGCAGAGCGACGCGAGGATGGCAGAGGAGCGAGCAGAGCGACGCGAGGATGGCAGAGGAGCGAGCAGAGCGACGCGAGGATGGCAGAGGAGCGAGCAGAGCGACGCGAGGATGGCAGAGGAGCGAGCAGAGCGACGCGAGGATGGCAGAGGAGCGAGCAGAGCGACGCGAGGATGGCAGAGGAGCGAGCAGAGCGACGCGAGGATGGCAGAGGAGCGAGCAGAGCGACGCGAGGATGGCAGAGGAGCGAGCAGAGCGACGCGAGGATGGCAGAGGAGCGAGCAGAGCGACGCGAGGATGGCAGAGGAGCGAGCAGAGCGACGCGAGGATGGCAGAGGAGCGAGCAGAGCGACGCGAGGATGGCAGAGGAGCGAGCAGAGCGACGCGAGGATGGCAGAGGAGCGAGCAGAGCGACGCGAGGATGGCAGAGGAGCGAGCAGAGCGACGCGAGGATGGCAGAGGAGCGAGCAGAGCGACGCGAGGATGGCAGAGGAGCGAGCAGAGCGACGCGAGGATGGCAGAGGAGCGAGCAGAGCGACGCGAGGATGGCAGAGGAGCGAGCAGAGCGACGCGAGGATGGCAGAGGAGCGAGCAGAGCGACGCGAGGATGGCAGAGGAGCGAGCAGAGCGACGCGAGGATGGCAGAGGAGCGAGCAGAGCGACGCGAGGATGGCAGAGGAGCGAGCAGAGCGACGCGAGGATGGCAGAGGAGCGAGCAGAGCGACGCGAGGATGGCAGAGGAGCGAGCAGAGCGACGCGAGGATGGCAGAGGAGCGAGCAGAGCGACGCGAGGATGGCAGAGGAGCGAGCAGAGCGACGCGAGGATGGCAGAGGAGCGAGCAGAGCGACGCGAGGATGGCAGAGGAGCGAGCAGAGCGACATGACGATGACAGAGGAGAGAGCAGAGTGACATCACACACACAGGGTGACATCACAATGACACAGGAGCGAGCAGAGTGACGTGACATGACACACACAGGGTGACATAACAATAACCGGACACACAGGGTGACATCACGATGACCGGAAACACACAGGGTGACATCACAATGACAGCTCCGGGTCGGGTTGTCCCCGCAGAGAGGATACATTGTAAAGTGTAAGGTGTAGTCAGGAAGAGAATACAATGTATGAGCGGAGAGCTCGGTGCACACAGTGTGACCTCCCTGTGACCGGGAAGCAGTACACATCACTCACAGTGGGGGAACAGCAGGCGGTGAGCGGCTCTGAAGGCGGCAGCCATGTTCTCCGATCGGTACATTCCCTCAGTGTCAGGAGCGGCGGGTTACACAAGCTCCGTTCACATGTCAGTCCATAAGGGGCCGGACGACCGCCCACTCCACGCACAGCCCGGCCCCCTCACTGACGTCACGTGGCAACTCCGTCCAATAGGGAGAGCGCTCGTGGTGAAAGTTTCTGCACGTGGTCAGAGGGGAGAGGTGTGTCTGGTGTCATTGTGGGTACATGGGGCCGAGGGGGGTGTCATTGTGGGTACATGGGGGGGGCGTGCATTATCCCAATGGATTTCTCATTGTTTTCTTCTTGAGGTCTCATGTTGCACTGAGGGGGTAAAGTATGAGGTTCACTGTATTGCCCTCCCCTCCCCCACCGCACTGTTCAGTCACTGCCAGCTAGAGAGGAAGCCCAGTGTAAGCTCTGCAGAGGACACCTCTTATGTGACAGCTCTCAACCAATCACCAGAGCTGTCATATGGAGTCGGTCACATGGTCCTTCATACCTGGAAGAGTTACCACCTTTATTCTAGTTACACAAGGGAGAGAGGAGAGAGGCTAATAGGGAGCACCAAACTATAATAATGGGGTGAAGGACACTGACATCTGCATTTTTACATCAGGAACCCCTTTTATGTCAGGAGCCCCTTTTACATCAAAGCCCCCTTGCACATTAGAGTCCCTCCTCCTTTCACACCAGTTCCTCCCTGCATATAAGAGTCCAGCTTCTCTATTTAACAAGCACCCTTCATAACAGAGTCCCCCTTTACAGAGGCCGCTCTAGACTTTGTGAGGCCTTAGGCGAAACTCAAAAGTGAGGTCCCCACTTACACTCATACTCAAAGAAAATGCTAACAATAATTAAAAATGAACTGTATAAATTTCATATTGTAAGACTACTGTAATGAGCGCGCAGAGGTCAGATCTAAGGAGCGCGCAGAGGTCAGATCTAAGGAGCGCGCAGAGGTCAGATCTCCTTTACATCAGAGCCCCCCCCCCCCCCCTACATCCCTACATATCCTAACACTTCATATGGCACATGCCTGGTGGTTTTGCCCGGTGGTGGTCAGATTGTGGATGCAAATCTACAACGTCATTCGCACCTTACTGCCAGTGGGGAAGCTAGACATTCTGTCATCCGGTGCACAGGCTCATAGTTGCCCACCACTCCTCAGTGTCACTCCTCCTAAAGCAGCACCCGGGGCACATGACCCCCCAAGCCGCTCCCTGGTTTCGGCCCTGCCTACTGCATATGACTTTTGGGAGAAATCTGCTCGAAGCATTGCTTAGTAAACCAATCTTGACTTTGCCTGCTGCGGTAAGGAGACTCGTACACCATGTTTTCACTGCCACCAGGCTAACCATTGCTAAAGTCTGGAAGTCACCGACCCTGAGACTTGTGGCCATCAAAAATCGACTGACCAGAATTAAGATTAATGAGAAGTTGACGGCTATTCTGGAGGACCCCCATGATAAATTCCTTTGTATTTGGCAGCCCCAGATTGCCCATTCTTGGCTGTCTCAATTTGATTCCATGCTATTGATCCTTTGTTTGACCTCTGCCCCCTACGATTTTTCTTTCTTATCCTTTTTTCTATCCTTCTTTTTCCCTTCACTTTAGTTCTTAATTCCTTCCTTTTCTCTTATGTAGTTTGAATACTCAGCCTTCCTGATTCATCTATATAGACTATATATATATATATATATTAGCCCTGGTATTTGGGGGTGGGGACGGCCCAGAGAGCAACCAGAGTACACGGCAGGGACTGACCGCCGCGCCGCAGCTCTCGCTTTCCACCTGTGTCCCGAAATCAGCAGACACCTGTCTGCCTCGGCTTTTGCTTAGAGAGCTGCCGCCGGTCAGAAAGCTACATTTCCCAGCAGGGAGCGCCACAGCGCCACATGGCCAGCGGGGTCGTGAAGATACTGAAGCTTGGCACAGTGGGAGATTCCTCAATCCACACAGTTTAGCGTAGATGGAGGAATCTGTTGCACGTTTTCCATCTGACCATAGAAAATCTGCAGATAATCTATAGGTGTATGGCCAGCCTAACTTTCTTTGGCTAGCGTACTTACTGCACACGTAGTCTGTTGGGGTTTTTTTATGTCATGTTTTTCTCTAATAAAATCTTTTGTGAAAGTTAAAAAAAAAATAGAGCTCCATTGACTTATTACATTGCATACCGCCCGTCCATTCTTGTTATCTGACGGGTCAGACTGCATCCCTGAGATAATTCCCCTCGTGGACAGTACACATTTGGCATATCAGGTCACTTCCAGTGGCTTCCAGTTCTTCTACACATTGTATCGGGTCATCCAGTAATCATCAAAGAACACCAACAAAGTATCTGAGCAGCTTTGAAGATAAACTGATGGTGAGGGCGATTCCTGCAAACTCAGCACTAAGTACTCACTGTAAATGTCGACAGTTCAGCAGATTTAAAGTCCCACAACACCCAAAGACCTTGTCCGCGCGGTGCTTGATGTGCATTCCCAGACTTCCGTGGGTATACACTATAAAGGGTACATAGGGCTAAATAGCACCCCATCATGCTGCATTGTGACACCCTGTAACCTGGATGTAGCATCTGCCTTACTTTTAAAATGTATGCTTGGCCAGGATAAAGGTGGCCATACACTTTACAACCATCGCAAGACCTTAGCCTTGCGATGGTTGTAAAGTAATTTTAAAAAACGTACGATCTGCCCATCTTGCACAGGCAGATCATACTTGCGATCATTGGAAGCCTCGAGGGGCAGGCTTCCGATGACCGCAATGCTGAACGGGCAGTGTGCGCATGCGCACAACGGCCCGTTCGGCATTTGTCTCCCGAGCATCATTCAAACCAGCCGAAAATCGATTCTCGGCGGGTTTTCTAGTTCGTGCTCGTACGAGAATCGCGCAGTGTATGGGCACCTTAAGAGTCCCTCACAATAAAGCTGAACTCCGGGCTGAACTAATATTGTCAAAATAGAAGAGCCCTCTGTATTCCTGCTTGAATCTTAGGGACCTATTTATTAAAAATGTGCATCGCTTATTCATCCAGAGACACTGCAGATACGTTTGTTCTGTGTGTATGAGAATGGGGCGAGTTTGAGTGTTCTATAATAGGTTCATTCATAAAAGAACAAAGTAAATGGGGCACTAGCCTGAGCCGCGGATCATAGGAAATAAATACATATTAGTAACAAGATACAATGTTAAACTTTAAGGCCCCTTTCACACGGGTGGTCCGTTGGGGTCCGCCTGTTACGCACGACTCTGGCCTGGCCTGCAAAAACAAACGGATCAGAGATCCTTTTCGCTGATGTAATTGGACAAATGTTCTTTAGATATAAAGAAAAGTGCACAGCGCTACCGATTGAAGAAAGCGATCAGCCTACCAGCATTAATCCTTTTTAAAGTGCATATTGGATAAATAAATACTTTCTGATAAAATGCCTCAATATCAACAATTTCTACACAATATTTAAAATATATAATAAGTGCAAACCCTTAAATTATTCTTAAAAAATATATAAAACTTAAACCTAACAGGTTATAGCATTCGATACATACTAGGGGGGGGGGGGGGGATTATCAAAACTGGTGCAGTCAAAATGTAGAGCAGATTTGCATGGCAACCAATCAGCGTATATGGCCAATAGTGGCCATAATGTTGTATTTTCCTGATATCACATTACACTTGAAAAGGAAATATATTGAGGATCATATGTGCCCGCATATGGCCGGACTAGATATGTGGGATGCGATCCACCACGAGTGACATGCCCAGTGTGCAGACATCGTGGATGATATATCTGCATGTGCGTGACCCGGAACAGATCATTCTGTACACCTATGATCGCCGTTTTGAATTGCCATGCCTAGTGGGCAGAAAGGGATGGTCCTCAACATGAGACAGCTTTGGTGCCCAGAGTTCTTATCTTATAGGTACTTAAGGGTGTGCGCGACAGGGTTCAGGATTACATCACCAGTCATTATAACGAAATGGACCGAGATAGATGTGCAGCACGCTGTCCTCTAATATTTATAACCTCGGGTACTATACCATTTATTGGATGGTCTCAATGTCACGCTATGATTGCCTTTCATTGTTGCCACTTTCTGTGTACGGTTATCCTATATTTTTCTTCATTGTTGGGAATGAGACGTCAGGACGATGGTGGCCATCCCTACTGATTGATTCACTGGTTTGTCACTGTATATATTCTCACTGCCTGTTGCACTATTTTATCTGATGAAGGAACCGCATAGTGTTCCAAAACGTTGCATATATACCCGAGGACATGTTTATCTGACGTCAAATAAAGAGGAAGTGGACCATTGGTGTGCTGGTGGCTTATTCTTCTATACCTTGACTTGTGCAGCGCCATCCGCAGGTCATTACAGCACATACTGAAGTACTTTAATAGGGATTCCGGCCTGGAGTGCGATGGGACATTCTGACATTGATATCTCTAGGGGACTCCAGACAAAACCAAGCAAGTCTCTTCTCCTAAAGAGAGAATCCAACCATCTGCATGTCCATGGCACGGAGGTGGAGCAGAGAATTCAGATACAAGGAGGGGAATTTATCAATACTGGAGCAGACAGAATGTGGAGCAGTTGCCCATGGCAACCAATCAGCATCCACCTTTCATTTTCAAACCTTAACTGAAGAGAGAAGCTGATTGGTTGCCATAGGCAACTGCTGCAGTTTCTTCTGCCCCAGTATTGATAAATTCCCCTCAGAGACTTTGTTTGGAGAGAAAAGCAGCCAATGGCTGACTGAGCAAATGGACCACCTCGTCCGTCCGTTTTTTTACTACGGGCGGACGGCAAGAGGTTAAATATAGCTTTTAGGTGGGTTTACACTTGTTCACACCAGCAGCTGCACTCAACCACATGGCTGCTGGTGTGTGTTTGCCCATAGAGTGCCGATGTGCTCGATCGAGCTAAATCTCACTTTTCTTTTTTGTTAGAACTTTATTGACATGCCAGAAATGACGGAACGCAGTGGTGTGAACTGTCACCCCCCATGGCAAGGTCAATTGCCTTGTCGTGCGTCAGGACTGCGCTGAAAAAAAACAGCCAGCACAGCCCAAACGC